CTCATTCTTATTAAAAATTTGTTTCTTAATCTTGTAACAAAATATCTATTTGAAGCGCCATCATTTTAAATTAATTATATTTGAAAATAAAAAACACAAATGCAGAACTGGTTTGAAATTATTTGAAAATGCAAGAATAATAAATATAAGTTGTATTAAGATTTACTAAGTTTTCAGGTATTTGTAAAATAAGAAATTGAATGATAAATTTATTAGGATTCTATATGACAAAAGGAGGTTTTTAAACAACTTCAACAACAGAATACTACAATCAAGAAATTGATCCAAAATTAAGAAATTATAAAGATTGGTAGAAAAATATTTGAGTATCAATACTATTTATTATGTAAATTATATAGAATGTAGAATAGAATAATCAAATAATATCACTTATAAAATAATATAACTTTAGGGATACAGCAACCCATTTTTGTTGTATTTTAAAAAAGTTAATTGCATTATATAACTTGAATTAGAATGTTTAAACCATGATTTATTATATAATATTTATTATAAATAATATTGAAGAATTTGAATCATCTAAATTTTCACACCTGAAAAATGTAGTTTGGTACCACAAAAATATAAAAGAAAAAAAATCAAGTTAAGCTCCAAGAGAATTGTTGGAATTTCTTCCTCATTACTACTTCTTAGGAAGAAACTTTAAAAGACTTAAAGTCAATATGGAAGAATTCAATAATTAAAAGGTTGCATAATCTGAAGTTCTTCCAAATCAAAATAATAATTTTCGTATTAAAACAGATAAGTAAATAAGCAATAAAAAACTATTAGAGAGGGTAAATTAATACAGTACTTAAAATAATCGAATTGTTTGTCATACCATGACGATTAATCATAAAGAAAAGTTAGATTAAATATCATTTGAAATATTTATCTGATTAATAGAGTCAAATAATTAGAGTAATTAAAAATTGATTAGTCAATAATTATGCAAATATTTTTAGAAATGTTAATTTAAATAAATGATTTAGCAAAATTGGTTGATCATCTCTTTTTATTCTTTTAGTGCGATAAGAAAGTATTCACAAACTAATTCGAAGAATAGGAAAAAAAATTAACTACTCTTCAGTCTACCTAAAGAAGGAGGCCTATTGTTTACGCAATACTAAGAAGAAAAATAGAACATCATAACTTTTTTCATATCTTTAATTAAAAATCAGTAGAATTCTATAAAAAAAGGGTAACCGAATTCGCCAAACCTTTGATAGAGGCCTTGTGAATAACCAAGGGAGGAAAGTGTTTCCAAAAGCAAGATTAATATATCATTTTGTGTGTGTCCACAATTTAATTTTATAGCGAAATTATAAAAACTAACTTCTTATAAGCTTTTATTGACTTTAAAAATTGAAATTACATATTAAATTTTAATATTCTTTATATGAAGTGAACAAACTTATTTAATTTTGCAATGTGAGAAATTGTGTTATCTTACAAGCATCCAGAAAATTAAATTAATTTTAAGTTTTATTAATTATGTTTTTGAAGAATTTGTCAACATCAACTTTTGTCACCAAGAAACCTGGATATTCCTCCTCAAGATACTGATGCAAATGCTTAATCATCATCACAACAAATAACTTAAAAATTAATGCTATATATCTCAAATATTACTTTTTAAAATTTATAGCATAATGTTATTAGAACTATAAAGCTTTATTAATCTTATTCTAAATATTTAATCATATTAAAAAACTTAAAACTCATGTTTAATAGCATAATATAGTTATTAGATATAACCTTTAGAGATTTTTAGTTCATTAAGACTAGAGATTGTAGTATTTATTACTTCACTTTAAGCTCTACTCATTCACATTATTCTATCTAATCGTGGTTTTGGTATAATTGACTTATAAATTTGCTTTTAATTCTTCTACTTCTCGAAGTTGCTCCTTGCATATTTTTTCATAATATTCTGACTTTTTGGTGATTGCCCTTTGTTTTTATAATTCTTTTTGTACCTGTTTAATTTAGGAAGAGGATTAATGTACTAATAAAAATTATAAGTAGATTAGAGATAACTTATTTTGAATTATGATGAAGTAAATTTGACATTATTTAAGATCGGCAATGTTATTATTATAAAATGAACTAATTAAATCCCTTTAGAATTTCCTTGTCTTCCATTACTGCATTCTTTTATGAGCTCTTTTTATTTTTTATCTCATTCTATCCATCAGACTGTTTAAACAAAAACTGCTAAATAGAAATTGATTAACAGCTACTTCTTAATGCTAAAAGAATGACTATTGAATAAAAGAAAGAGGCATATTATTTTAGAAGCCATACTATCTAATAAATAGTATATGATGCATTTTTAAGCAACTTAAAGATTTATTATTATAATTTCTGATGTTTAGTTAATGAAAGAATCATTAAGAGAAAGGACTATTTCCTTAACTCCTACCAGAAATAGATCTTTTAATCCATCTTATAATTAATATTTCAGGGTTTGTCTCCATTAATTCAACCCAGGATATCAGCAGTTTAACCTTAAAAAGTAATAGCAGATATTAAATATCATTTTTTTCCTGGTTGAACATTTAAGGCTATTAATATCTGTTGGGAATATTTATCGTAAATACAGATATTATATTCCAAATCAAGACATTTACATATCAAATAAATGGTTATTGCTGTCATTGAATGAATCAGAAATAAACGAAAAATTAAAAAAATTTTAAGTGTATTCTAAATTATCTAACAAATTATTTATTATTTTTCAAAGTTTCAATAAAATTAATAAAAAAATTTAATGCACTTTATTAATTAGGCTATTATTGTATTTTATGGTAATTTCATTATGAAATTGTCCTCAAGAAGGATTTGTTAAAATTGTTTTCGATTTAAAATTATAATTTAATGTTTAGAATTCTTATTGAGTTTATATATAATTTAAGCTAGCAGATGGCAAACTATGAAAATTTGTTTCTTTACTTTTACTACAAGAAAATCACATTGTAGAAACTTTGAAATTTAAAGTATTCAATATATGCACAAATTAAAGTTATAGATGACAAAAGTTTTTGATATTTATTCAAATTAATCATCAAAACCTAGTGTTACAATTAAGTGAATTATTGATATTGAAAAAAGCAGGTTTGGTTTATAGGATTAATTTGAAAAATTCACATTATTATCAACTCTATTAGCTGAGCTATGTTTGGTATAAATACAATTTTAAACTAAAAATTAGTGCCATTTATTACTCTTAAATATTGTGGTTACTATTATTAGCTCTTAGAATTATAATCTAAGTCATGGTATTTAATGATAGCTAATAGTTAGAGATTAGGCATGAATTTAGTTGGGATTGTAAAGTAATAAAAACCAAAACTGCTTAAATAATCAACATTATTAAGTGAAACTTGTAATCTAATGAGTAATTTCATATCATATTAAGGAAATGATATAGTCATTGTAATTACAGTACTATTTTATCAATAAAAAAAGGATTAAATTTATATCTCATAAAATTTACTTAATCTTTAGATTCAAAGGATTTTAAGTTGACTTTTAGCCTTGTTGAATCAGAATCAACTTTTGCCATAAAAGAAGGTGATTTATAATTATTTACTTGATTGAATTACATATAGATAGAAAATGTTTCTCATCATCACGTAAAATTTTCATAAAAAACCTATCCAAAACCAAGAAATATCCTTCCGAATTTGACATGTGTGATCATTTTTTATTTCTTATTTATTCGAAGATAAATTATTTCTATAACGATTCTATATAATCTAGTTTTTTCAAATATCCAGCTATCACATATGATCAGCTTTAATTTCAATAACAAAAATTAATTCTAAATTGTTTGATTAGAAAATCTAATGATTTTCATCATTTGAGCCTATTTTTTTTTGCTTATAAACTGGCTCTTAGTCTTTTTAATTGCTTTGGATCATTAAACTAAATAGATTCAACTCAAGTTAACATTGAAAATTTAGTTTGTGTATTTTTGAAGATTGTTTACCTGATTATTATTTAAATTATAGTTATTATCATAAATATTCCAAAATTATTGTATCTAAATTTATAAGTAAACAGTTTTTAGCACTTGTATATGATTGTAAATCTTATTTGAATTCAAATGTTGATCTCAATGTGAGAAAGGTATTTCATCTGATTCAGTTATTATGTGTATTACAAAAAATAATGTGATTAATAGTAGTTCTACTGATTGTGGTACATGAAATAATAGCAAACATATTTTACTTCTTTTAAGGTTGTAAAATGCAAACATGCTAATTATGGAAAAAAATGTGAAATTAAAATCGAATTCTTATTGCATTTTTTAGTCCATATCCAGAAGCAAAAAATTATTTATCTGCATTCAAAAGTGCCATGAAATTAACTTTTTATCATGAGATCCCAATTAAACAGCTTTTAGAGGAATTGGATAGATTTTATTCCTATGGGAGTCTGAAAAGACGGACTGTAAAAGATGTTTAATGATTTTCAAATTTTTTACATATTCATAAGTCTAGAAATTGGATACAAATAGGAAAATATATGGAAATAAAAGGGAAATTTTAACAATAATTTTAATATCTATAAGAACTAACAAAGCATTTATAGATATAGATATAAAAAGGATAATAGATGATGGTTAAAAGGGTCAGGCCTTAAAAATGATTAAAAATAAAAAAAAATTGTAAGCAAAATCACAGAGTTACTCATAAAGTAAAATATTTAATGTTAATAAATTTAGAGTCTATGGATAATTAGAATATCTTTTTATTAGTAATTGTATCTATATTCAGACTTATTGTCATCTAAAAATCAAAATAGATAAGCTATATTAATTAAAAATGATGATGAGAATAGTGAAAGTATTGAATATTTCTCAAAATATTAGGTATTACTATAATATACTTTATTCCATTTAAATAAATTAAAACTTAGTTAAAGTAGGTAGAGTTAACTAAATTTAATAAACAATTAAATAAATAAAAATATTCTTAATGATTTTAAAATAATCAATTCTATTTTTATTATTCTAATTTATTTTCTAAAAAGATACCTCCTTTGGATAATAATAATTATCTTAAATCTATTCCTTTATGATTCTTGAATTATCCTTAAAAAATCAAAGCTCCATTTACTTGAAAAAAGGTCTATTATGAAATAAGAAGCATATTTAGATTTGAAGTGTCTAAATGAATATATAATAAAAATACTTTTTTCAAAAGTTTAGTTTTAATTTAAGGTTATTTAGAATTATGAAAGCAGATCTTTGTATAATTCAAAAGGTTAAATTTTTAAACCAACTTAAATATCCCATACGCGAATAGACTTATCACCACTAGAAGATGCTAAAGCAGTTCCATCTGGTGAAAAGCAGACTGAATAGACTTCACTAGTATGACCATCTATTTATGCTTGTTGTTATCCTGTCTTAACATCCCATAATCTGATAGAGTTATCCATACCGCCGGATGCTAACATTGTTCCATCTGGTGAGAAGCATACTGAAAAGACCTATCGATCATGACCATTTAATTAAGCTTTTAATTATCCAGTCTTAGCATCCCATAAACAAATAGACATATCGTCACTACTTGAAGCTAAAGTAGTTCCATCTGGGGAGAAGCATATTTATCTAATGAAATCACTTTAAGAACCCAATTATGCATATTATTATCCAGTCCTAACATCCCAAAAACAGATAGATTCACCATAACCAACTGAAGCTAAAGTAGTTCCATCAGGTGAGAAGCATACCGAATAGAAACCCATTTTATGACCTTCTAATTAAGCTTTTTATTATCCATTCTAAACATCTATTAAACGAATAGTTTTATCAAAACTACTTAAAGCTAAAGTATTTCCATCTGGTGAGAACTTTACTGATGAGACACCTTTTTGAAAACAATCTATTTTAGCTTTTTATTACCCAGTCTTCAGATCCCATAAACAGGCAGAGCAATCACAACTACCTGAAGCTAATGTAGTTCCATCTGGTGAAAAGCATACTGAGATAACATAATCCGTATGGCCATCTAATTTAGCCTTTTATTATCCAGTTTTAGCATCCCATAAACGTATAGACTTATCAGCACTTCCGGAAGCTAAAATAGTACCATCTGGTGAGTAACATACTGTTTGGACTAAACTAGTATGACCGTCTGATGTGGCATTTTATTATCCAATCTTAAAATCCCATAACAAAATAGACCCATCAATACTACAAGAAGCTAAAATATCTCCTTCGGCATCAGGCGAGAAGTATACTGATACAACAGTATCACTATGACCATCAAGCTAAGCTTTTTATTATCCAGCCTTAACATCCCATAATTGATAGATTTATCCATACCACCAGATGCTAAAATAGTTCCATCTGGTGAAAAGCATACTGAGTAGACAGCAAGTGTATGACCATCTAATTTGGCTTTTTATTATTCAGTTTTAACATCCCATAATCTGATTGACTTATCTTAACTACCAGATGCTAAAGTAGTACCATCAGGTGAGAAGCATACTGAGTGGACAAAACCACTATGACCAAATAAATAAGCTTTTTTATTTCCCGTCCCAACATCCAATAAAAGAACGTGATTTCGATTTCCACATTAAGCTAAAGTAGCTCCATCTGGGGAGAAGTATAATTAGGAGACATTGTTATAATTCGTATCTAATTAAGCTTTTTATTATCCAGTTCTAACATCCCAAAAACGGATAGAATAATCAGCACTACCAGAAACTAAAGTACTTCCATCTGGCGAAAAGCATACTGAGTTGATATTATTACTATGACCTTCCAATTTAGCTTTTTATTATCCTGTTTTAGCATCCCACAAACGAATAGACTAATCATTGCTACCTGAAGCTAAAGTAGTTCCATCAGGGGAGAAGCATATTGTTTTAACAACTTAAGAATGACCATTCATCTATAACTATTCATTTATTCTTAAATTTTTCCATTCACAATTAAACAATTTCGCACCATTTAAATTAATTCCATTAATATTTATATTTTCAAATTTGGATTCACTCAAATTGCATTTTGCTAAGTTAGCTCCAAATATTGATGTGTCTTTAATTTTTATATTTTAAAAGCTTTACATAGTTAGGTCAACTTTCATCTCAACTAATAAATTTAGTGAATTACTTCCACTTTAAATGAATTTTTGATCTATTGTTGTGAGATGAACTAAAAATTTTAACAATTATATAATCTTAATCTCATCAGATATTTTTTAAATCAGATATTTTCTTGTTTCTGAATATATTTCAGTGGAATAATTTATAAAATTAAAGGCATGTTTTTATATTTTTTCAATAAGATTCTTAATTAACTTAATTTTATCAACTAATTATTGTGATTTTAAAAATTAGAATTAATATTTTGACTCCTTATTCAATAAATTTTTTATCAATTCTAAGCAATCTTTATCTACATTTTACTCTTAAAAATTCTTCCATCAAAGAATCAAATACTTTTAGATCTAGATCTTTTCCTTAAACTAACAATTCATATAAATCGGCTGCAATCAAAAACTCCTATATTGACTTATGGACAAATGAAAAGTTTGGGCCTTTTTTTTAGACCAACGAGCAACTTCTTATATCTTTTTTATAAGATCCGTTTTAACCGTCATCATAAAAAAATTCATCTAACCATTTTTCTTCTTCTCCTTCTTCATTGTATAATATACCTTATTATTTATATTAAACTTAAGTCAATTATTTATTACTCATTGCGTTTGCAAGTTTAATAGAATATTTTTAAATATCATGCAAAAAACGATCTATATTTAAAGATTTACCTAAGTTTTTCTATTTTTCAATTTATTTCAAATAGTAATAATTTATAAACTCGCTATAAAAGTCAAAATTAGTAAGGTTGAATTCTATTAAAGCATCACAAATTAAAGAAATAATACTTTCGTTTTTAATGTCAACATAATTAAATTTATTATTTTATAATAGGTGATGAGGTTCCAATATCTTGAAAAGTATTCTATCAAATCCACCTAGTTGTTAAGATATTTAAAGTTAAATAGGAATTGAATTCTCTTCCATTATATCCCAAATTTTAATAGTTATTTCTTGATAATCAATTTTTTCCAATTTCTCCATATCTGTTTGAGTATAGCCAAAAAATGAAATACATCAAAGCAGAATAATAGATAAACTGATAGAGGTGTAAAAAAAATAAATAAAGTTTATTTGGTTGGCAAGCCCAGGTATCCATCTAAGTTTCTGCTGTAAATTTTATAAATGCTAAATCAGTGTTCTTGCTTATTTAAGAATCAAACAATTTTTTAATTTCCTAAATACTATTTTTTTGACTATAACTTGAAATTCTTCTTCCTAAATACCAATAGAGTCTTATTTAAATTCTTCAAGTTATTTTATTTAATGCTTATTCTTTTGCTATTTATTCATATAAATCAGATATTTGCTTTTCAAGAATTTTTTAAACATTTTTGAGAAATTGTTAATGAAGTTTTCTTTCATTTTGGTGATCTCTGTAGCTTTAATCATCATTTAAGGCAACACTTAAACTATTATTTCTATCATATAAGGAGTTTCTACTAATCTATTTAAATTTATCTACTTCATCATTTAAAAATACTTTTCAATGCTCCACAATTTTTATAAATTAATCCTCAAACTTCTTAAAGCTTCATTGCTTTTTAAGGCAAAAAAGTTATCATCCTTTAGAAAAATCAAAATGTTTTCTATTTATTTTTAATTCAAAAGAGCCTCAGATTTCAACTTTGAGCCCTCAAACTTCAAAAATGATTACTTTAATTATTCCCAGCACAGTTCAAACTTATTAATGTCCATACATCCTTTTGTTATTTATATTTACCATTCGTAAATTTCAAATATCTACATTTTAATACTTTGAATAGTGAATTTTTTCAAATATTCTTTAGTTTGATGCTTGTCAAATTTTAGAAGCTAGATTTCTTTAAATTTCGTTTTCTCTTCAGGGGCAAACCAATCAATGTAATTAATACTTGTAAAAATTTCGCTTCTAGTTGTGAAAATTACAAGTGGGTCTGACCAATTTTATTTAAGTTTGTTATTTATGTATAGATTTTTCTGTATGTTCTCAAGTTTCATTTCATCATAACTGTCCATTATTAACATAAATCGGAACTCCTTATTTTACAACTTTTCTTTACATTCTTTCAATTAAAGAGCTTCAAAACCATACTCATCTGAACGAAGTGTTTCTTCTACTGCTTAAAAAACTGGATTTTTTAAAGAAGGTAATGAAATATAAATAGGTATAAGAGTTTAATTCCCGATTTTTTTATTAACTTCATGTAACTTCCAGATGATTTCTTCTATTTTCTTAGCCGTTGTGCTTTTACCTGATCCAGCTATTCCATGAATCAGCATCACTGTTTTTTCTTCTTATAAAAACTCATTCACTTCTCCTTCTTTGTCATCAAATTAGTCTAAATTCATCAAATAACTTTACTCATTTTTTCCTTTCTCTTAAGTTTTTAATGGCACATAGATAGATTTAACATTTTTATATGCTGCTTCTTTTAATACTTTCCATTTTCTAATTTCAAACAGTTATTCAACAGATTTTCCTCTCAAAGATTTAACGTCATTATCCATCCTATTAAGTTACTCATTCATTTCATTAATTTTTCCTTCAACTCTTAATAAATTTTTCCTAATATGATTTACAAAATCAGTTATCAATCTAAGTTATTAACCCATTTCACTAATATTTTCAATATATTCATCTAATAGCTTAGTTGTTTCACCCAATTCTCTTAGCTGTTGATCACGTTTGTTGAGATTAGCTTCATGTGAAACTTCTTCTTATAATTAATCGATTTTCATCAACATTTATTACATTTCACCTGAGACTCTATTATGCTAAGTTTACCAATCTTTCTTCAAAATCTACATTTACATATTAATTAAGTTCTCATTTTTTAATAGATTTCTTACTCTTTAATCTTTCTCAGAAATCCACAATTAGATTAAAGCTTTCTGACAAAATTATATAATAGAATTTGTGAAGCAATTGGATGAAATTTAAATTATAGTAAATACAAGACCCTATTTTATTTTCCATTCTTCATTATTATGATAGTCTTTAAACTTTTTATTCAAAGTATCAAATAAATCTAACTCTTGATTAGATTTATAATCATTTTCTTCTTCCTTAGAAGTCTCTAAGTAAAGTTTTCTAATTTAATGAATCATATTTTCTTATTCAATCTTGGTGTTTGCAAAATAAATTGGCTATTTTAATTTATCTGAAAAATACATCTTTAAAGTATTTAGAAAATCACAAATATTTGTTTAAATTTAAGTAATCTCAAAATCATTTATTCCTAATTACAAATTAGATTATATTCTTCCAAAATAATGCAAAAAATTTTCATTTTTCTTTTATTATAAATTTATGGGTGATGATGTTAATTTTTCGAAGCTCATAATTATTTGTCTAAATCGGCATTAAAATATTTATGAACATTTTTCTTGAGTATCTTAAGTTTATTTTTAAATTAGATCAATATCATTAGAGAAACTATAACTTACTTCAAGTAACTTGTCTAATCCCTTCATTTTTTCTGTTATCTTTTACTATTATAATTGCACAAGCTTTATCATACATTTTAAATATGTATTATAGTTTTCGTTGCTTCTAAAATTAAAGTTTTGATCATTTTATTCAATATCATCATTACTCTGCTTTTCTAACATTTAGTCATTTTCTCTTTATATTAATAATTATTGAGGCGATTAAACTTCTTCAATTTAATTACTTTATTTTTTGATTTTTTCATCTTTTTCCTTAATTTCTTATTGATTAATACTTAATAGGTTTTTAAAATTCATCAGCTCTTCTTTTAATAAAATTAAAAAAATTTCCTTATCACTCTTCTCGAAAGTTTCCAGTATTCTAATCACTGTTTCTGTTTGGTTGGCTAATTAATTACAATAACCACTCCCAATCTAATCTATGCTTTAATGATTTCTTGACTTTTTGATTTTCCCAAGTTCCTTCAAACAATTATAAAATTTTTCCTTTATCAATATCAATTCTGATAAATTCAATTTTTCTTCAATCAAATTTTTTACTAATTCGTCACTTGTCAGAAAAAGACTTTCAATAGTTTGGATAAACATTTAGGAAGGAGATTCTTCAATGAATAAGTATCCTAATTCCTTCTAAATTAATTCTAAATCTAATTCCTCTTTAGAAATCATTTATTTTTCTATTGATAAACAGAATTGTAAGTATTCTATTAATCCTTTCTACTTTGATAAAGTACTTTAATAGTCTTATTCAGTGAATTATAAACTTTTTAATTCTACCATAGTAACTTTTTCAATCTCCCCATTACAGTAATTTAATCTTTTTGGGTAATTTTTAATTACTGAAAATAGGAACTCATTGAGATTAATAAACTCTAACAACTATTGTAATTCTTCTGGGCTAGTTTATGCTAACATATTTAAGAAGGACTTCTTGATTGTGTCTAATTTTAAATGTAGTTTTAAATGTTTGAACCTTAAATTTTGAATATATTTTATTAATCCTTTGATCTCTTTAGAGTTTTGTGGATTTAAAAGAGGGGCAATTTCTTACTTGATTTGAATAATTTCCTTAAGAAAGAACATAGACTCATTATTATCATGGTTAAGTTCTTAGTCGATTTCTTCATAGTCTAAAAAAAGTTTATTCAATTAAACCTCAAAATATTAAATCATGTTATTATTTTTTTGAAGCTTAGTAACTTCTAGCCTTTCTAATTATTCTAATTGTTTCCAAGAATTAGTAATCAATTAAATCAGACTTGAAGCTGTTTTTAAAAAGTTTTGTTAGTTTAGGGAAACAGCCAGTAAAGCCAAAAGTTTCTTCTTAAAATTATCAAGAAATGAATGTCTTAGTGTAAGTTTTGTTAATTCCATTTAAATCTTCACCTTTTCTTCAGTCATTTTGAATTTAAGATTTATTTTTCTCATCTATCTTATCCTTAAATTCTGAAAGCTGTGACTATAATAATTATTCTAATACTTTAATCAAATATTTAAGTTATTAAAAATTATTTAGTTCATTTTAAAATTCAAGTAATTAAGTTTAACAATTTTATTTATTTTGATTAAGCCTAACAAATTTTATGATATTTTAAGTATTTAGGAAATATTATTTGAAGTTGAGAATCATCTTATTTATTTCTGAATTTTGCATAGCTTGTTATATCTTTTTATTAAACTATATATTGTGTTTCATTAAATTTTGATAACTTTTAATTACTAATCCCAATTTCTCATAATTTTCATTAAATAAAGTTAGTAATTTATTGGAAATTATGAAATGAAAAAATGTTTAGATTTGACTCACTACCAAAATATTGTCATTTTTGTAAAATTCAGTGCATCCTACCTTCAATTTGCATTGTAAGTAAGAACAAAATGTAAAATTGATATTGGGTTCATAATCATTCAATAAGAAGTCTTTAAGCAATAAAAAATTTTCCCATTCCTTAAAACAGTCTTCTAAAATTATTCTATCAAATTAAAGTATTGATTCTTTATTTTAAAGTTTATTCAGTAAAATTATAGTTGAGTTACTGCTTTTATTCAATTAAATTAGTAATCCTTTGTTCTAATATTCCTTCCAAATTTGGTTTGAATCGACTTTATAATTGTATAAGTCGATTAGCTGTTGCAATTTTTTTTTTGACAATAAAGGATTATACATTAAGATTTTGGCAATCATTTAAATCCATAAAAAATGATTTTTCCAATTATTTGAATTCTACACAAGATTTTCGTGTATTGCCTGAATTTGTAAAAGCACTTCTTCTAGATTTTTTTATTTTTCATATTTAAAATAACTAATTATCTCCCATTGTAAAATGTCTATTTGAAAATAAACTTCATATTATTTTCTATTTTTCTAAACTGAATACATTTTGTAAAGCAGGCAGGCTCCCTGAAATAGTGATTCAAGCAATTCAGCACTAGGTTTCATTTGTATTATTGATTAAATTATACCACTTAAACATCCTTTTAAAATTTCTTCCCTTTCGTTACTATTATTTGGAGCCATCTCGAAAGAAGTTTTTGTTAGGAAAAGATAAAGTTCCATTTAAATTTGAATCATATCATTCTTCTCTATTTCCATTTATTATTTTAATTCATCAGAAATATCCAGAAATTCTTTTTATAAATCATATTTCATAAATCTCTCATCATTCATTATATGAAAGCTAAATATAACTTTAGATAGAGATGCTGTAGTCTATAAGATATACAAACATTTAAACTAATCTGTTTTAATGTAGATCTAACAGCTTTTCAACAGTTTTCGAATCCCCTCTAAGATCAAGTTATATGATTTCATGACCTTTTCAGCACTCTTATTGAGTTTGTAGATGCTTTCCTCTTAAAAAAAAAACCATTGTAAAGCTATCATTATTTCTTAAGATTCTGATTGATTCACAGCAACAGAAGCTCTTGTGCAAATTTGTTCAACATAGAAATCAAATTTTGTGATGAAATTTTCTAATTCTAAATCTTTGTCTTTTTTAGTTGTTTTAGCGATAGAATCCTATGGACTTATTTACGAAGTTCCACAACCACCCCCACGTAAGATGGATATTGTTTTATTCATTATGCTGGCTATTTTTGATAATAATTTTAATAATTATTTGAGATGGGATCAGATATACTGGGAAATGATTTTAGGAATCCAGAAATTCTTAAAAAAATTAACTATATTTTGAGAGTTTAAAATTTTCCAATAATAGTTCCAGACAAACAATTATTGAAATGATCTATATTTAGATAGGATATAATTGATACAAAGATTTTTGAGAGTCAAAATAATCGCTAAATATTGGATTGCAATGGATTTTATAAAAGAAATTTTAAATTTTGAAAAATATAATAATCACAATGATGATAGAAGTTATTAAAATGAGTTGAATCCTATTTCCTCAGCTTACTAATATTTCACTTATCATAAGAGCTCATTTAACTAATTTATAAACATATTTAAGATATTGGTCATTACTTTACTGATCAATTATTAATTTTATCAAATGTATTATAAATGAAAATACAATTAAACATTTAAAAAGAGAATAGTTTATTTTTCAGCTTTTTAAATGAGGGAGGGAACTTGCCATTCATTATTAAAATAAATAGACATTAAAGTGTTGATTGATAAAAATTTATTAAACAAGAAGACGTGTTCATTTTAAATATATCAAATTATTTTTCTGTAAGTTCTTTATATCCTTTTTCATTCATAAAGTGTTCTAGTCCCAGCTGAAAATATAACTTATAAAAATTTCTGAGATTCATATGACGCTAGCTGCTTTTGTGCTGCTGTAGATGCTTTCATTAAAGGTTCAGAGAGTAGCAGCATTTTAAACATCTTCTCCACCATACGAATGATTTATTTTTCAACAAATGTCAAGAATCATCGTTACTGTAGAACGCATGCAATATAGTAAATAATTAGTTTTAGTGCGAAAGATGTGCAGAGGTATTTTATAACAGCGAAACTCAACAAGTTGTATGACAGGCTTAAATACAGATACCTAATTTACTATCTGGATTACTAGAAAACATCTTTATTATTTATAATTTCTAACTTTTTTAACAAATTTTATGGGAATGTAACAAATAATGGAAATTGCACATTGAGTTAAAGTGTCTATTCTTGTTAATGCATTTTATAGGTTCATCGTGTTTTGGTGGATTTATTTTTTGATGTACAAAATGCATTTATGACTATTATAGAAAAAAGAGTATAGATATGCACAAGTTAATCATAATGTATAAATTAAATAATGAGAAAATATTTATTAAATTATATATCTGCTATTCGTCATTTCTCTTGTATTTTCAAAATTTGCTTTAGTAGAACTTCATGTTTGATTTGCTAATTTCTTTTTATCAAATGTTAAATCACAGGCAATCCTTATTGTTAAGACTGCATTACTGAATATTATTTGTATGGTTATTATGCATTTAATATGAATCAAAATGAAAAATTTTTAATTCAAAAAAAAGCTTATGTTAAACAGAATGGATAACTTGTATAAAACTTTACATAAAAAAAAAGTTAAAGTTCTTTCTATTATTTGGATGGAATTTGTAAATCGTGTAGTGTTGGTAAGTTTATAGCTGATAAATCCTGATCGTAATGCTAATCACCTTATTTCATGTGTTACAACTCCTACTAATCGTTTGAGATGTAGATGATTACTACAAACCAATTAATATGAATACATTGAGTAATGTGCTTCACCTTGTTAATTGTGCAGTTTAGATGTTACTTACTAATAATGCTATAGTTGATTAATATAATATACTTTCTAGTAACACTTGTATTATATACTCTTCTCCATCTTAAACTTATCAGATCGATAGGATTGTATTTTTTTATAAATTTCCTGGAGTGTTCAAGCTCATCAATTTGTACAAAATGTGACACTGATGATGTCGTAATGGCTCATGTTTAACTAGTCAACACATGATTTATTTGAAATAATTCAATGATTTTTAATGGTTTTTTAAGAGGTCGGAATTTTAATACCTTAGGTACATGTTCTACATATTTTGAAAACAACTGGTTTAACATGAAATTTTTATGAATTTTAATACTATTTTCATTTAATATTAAATAATGGAGTTGTTAATAGATTTGATGTATCAACATTAATATAATTTTTCTCCAAGCTTAACTTACACTAATCCTTTTACTTATTAAAAAGTTAAGAATGTCTAAGTTTTAATTTTGCCAATAAAAATTCTTTGGATTTACTCTTCATGCTCTGCTCGATATCAATAAAGTATATAGCTTTAAAACATCATGTGGAATTTGTGATCGTACTTCAACTCTCAATGCTTAATCTTTATTA